TGAAGACAGGGTTGGCCATGGGGGGGAGGGGGGGATGTTATAGACTTCAAATTGATCGGCCTGTAACTCTTTTACCCACAGGGGTGACCACCAAGTAATTTCTCCAGACAAGAAGCAATACAGCACAAGGACAAGACAAGCTGACATGAAGCAAATCAAATCAAATCAATCATCACCAAATAAACATTGTCTGATTTCATACAAATTCCTTAGAGCTAAAGGTATAAGAAATATTTGGCAGACGGTGGGGAGAATTTACATGTGCATGTACATGTACCTCCTGCTCCAGGTAGTGTATTATCCTCTTTGGTTTCAACATGTTTCAACTGACTCTTGTCAAACGTTTTAACTTCTGCTCTGGAGTCTACACTTTCATCATGAATGTCTGAAAAGAAAGAAAAATAATCTTAGAAATGATATCAAAATGAAACAAGTCATTTGAAAGCTTGTTCTTCAGCTTTTGTAAGACTAACCCTGAGGGCAAAAATCCTCAATTGAATTTAGGCTTCCCTTGAAGACTTCATTCTACAATTCATCACACAAAAAAAATTATATCAAATATATTTATAAATACCTTGTTGACTTGGAAGAACAACTTTTTCTGTAACAGGCACATGTTGCAGTTTATTGTGGTCAAACTGTAGCACCTCTGAGCGGTCTGGTCGTCTTGATGGCGGGGGCATTCTCTCAGCAGTGAGATCTGAAATCAAAACAGAAGACATTGAGAGTATTAAAATTATTAAACAGAGCTTGACCTGAAATCACCCATTTTAGAACGAAGAGAACAAGAGATGATGCTGTGCCACCAAAGAGATATAATTAAAATGTACCTTGTGCAGTGGGGAGATACTTCTTCTCATCTGTGTCCACATGTTTAAGAGAGCCTTTGTCGAAACTCTTTACTTCGGCTCTTGATTCAACAGATTCCTCCTCGATAACTAAAGAATCAATCCATGTTTGACATGTTACCGAAGTTTATTAACCATTTAAAAAATTCTATTTAATGTTGAATGAGTGATCAAGAAAGGGAACATGCTTGATGAGGATCTCAAACAAAGTTCTAGTGCTCAAAATTTAAAGCATTCACTTTTCAAATCAGTTTAAAATCAAATTCTGACACAAACATTCACATTAGTTTTAGAAAGAGGGGTTGCTCTCTTTGCAATGAGATCTGAAAACACAACACAAGATATTTGGAGTAGTTCTAATCTGATTGTATAAAATGAGGAATGGTGCTTTCTCCAAAACCAGTTGAAAAATTTGTAAATCACAAGTCAAC